GGGCCGAATTTTTGAGCCCACATTAATCTAATCATTTAATTATAACACAACCATCCAATCTTAGTTTTTCGCTCAACTTATCCTTCAATGAATTTCCTACTTCCCAACAAATACAAATCATACACAATTTTATTTATAGTAACAATGTACTATTACTTCTATAATATTTCCTCATAATTGAGACTCCTGTTATAGTCCAAATGGAGTTACCCTTGGACAGAACAGCCCAACCTTGACTCTGGACCCCTTTGCTACTCGTGCATGCAAATCACTTAATCAAGCATCTTGAGCACCAATCAACACAAAAAATGGTGTGATTCTCCTAGCTCTCATTGCCCTTGGCTCATGATTTAAGAGCCGATGCTAGGTGTTATTATTAGAATAAATAAGTCTTTGTAATTTCCACGTCAGCATTCATTAGATGTATCTAGACGCGGTTACATCAGACCCTGGCGTTAGTCTAATATTTCTTTTACTGTACCGGTAAACCATCTAAGATCTCCTGTATTCCTCCTCGGCATCCCATGACTATTCGCACTATGACCGCACTCTTAAAGCCCTATTCGCAAACTCACCTTCTCACCAACAACTCCCTGCGATCCTGAACCCGCACTACCTATACCGAAGGCCTCTAAGTATACGAATTGGCGTCCAGGCAATGTGTCCAAGAAAATATTTGCTCTCAAAAACAGGCACTTTGAGTCTGTTCTACTCCACGAATGCCTCAATTCTTTGGATGCAAATGGACCTTTAGAACAAACTTCATGCTGACGCGGCTCGGTAGCTCGTTACAAAGCACGTCTTGTATGCTCAAGTCAACCATCAAGAGTACGGAATTAATTACACCGAAACGTTTAGTCCTATCGACAAAACTTCCCACCATCAGAACCTTCTCCCATAGCGCTCATCACAATTGGTCAGTTCACAGTAGACGTTGAAAATGCCTTTCTTCATGTAATCTTAACGGACTGTCTACATGCTACAGCCTAAAGGATTCGAACAGACCAAACAAACCGAATCAATGTCTTCCGGTTACACAAGGTATCTACGGACTCAAACAGCCCCTCGTCAATGGTTACAAATGTCACTGCGTCCCTAACAGCGCTTGGGTTCAACCACAGTCAATCAGATCCATCCTTCTCATATCACAAGAATCCCATACAAATCATATCTTTTGTATGTGGACGACATTCTGATTACTGGAAACAACGACACAGAAATATCATCTCATTACCCAGCTAAACAATCCTATGCTCTGAAACATCTTTGGTCCGTTATAGCTTTCTCGCATAATATTCGATCTGATCAAAACTGTATTTTCTTTCTCAGGCACATTAATGCTAATTCATTCTTCAACTTGTAGGTCCATGCCAAACCAGCAAGACCCACGGCAAATCCGGCTGCAACAAACTGCCTCTCACAATTGCTTCGATCGATCTGTCTGATTCGGCGCTCTTTCGACGGATCATTGGCTTCCCTCAATACTTACTCTTACTCGTCCCGGACATCGCGTTCAGTGTCAATCTCCTGTCGCAACACATGCATAATCCGCTCCCAAATCACATTTATGCTTCTTCAAGCAACTCCTTCGGTACATAAAGGAAGCACAACATTTCGGAATTCCTTAACTAAAGGTAATCTTTTCTTTCGTTCTTTCTCCTCGATGCAGATTGGGCAGGTGATCTGTCTCCCGGAAAGTCCACGTCAGGCTAACTGTACATTCATAAGGCGACAACATCATCTCCTGGAAAGTTCAAAAGCAAATACAGTCGCTCGTTCTCTACCGAAGCGGAAATATTAGATCGTAGCTGCACTTACTGTGAACACCATTATAAATGCTTTCGTCAAGCCTCTTTCTGATTTCGGCATCAAACCCGATCAACCGGTGAACTTCCTGTGACAATATGCCGCATCGCTATCGCGAAACAACCGGTCTTTCACGCTCGTACCAACACACATTGAAATTGATCAAGATTTGTCTGCGATCATATTCAAAAAATAATATCAAAGATTCTACCGGTTTACACGATGATCAGATTGCAGATATTCCTTCCACTAAACCCTCTCTCCCAAGCGAAAATTCCGCCAACCTAAGAGACAAACTGCGGTTCTTCTAGATCCCTCTGTTTGTGGGGTGTATTAGAATAAAATAAATCTTTGTATTTCCACGTCAGCTATATTAGATGTATCTAGACCGGTTACATCAACCTGGCGTTAGTCTATATATTTGCTTTTACTGTCGGTAAACACTAGATTCAAATACAATTTTACTTTCAGCTCTTGTCTTTTCCTCATGTTTTTCTCTATGCTGTGCTGTACCAGATTCTACAGTTATACTCCCCCTCAAATTCTTTCTCCCTTGAATCACCAAAGAACCTCCCAACCTTTATCTTCTGCCCATTGCATCCACATATCCCTCTCCTTCTTCCTTTGACTTAAAGCCTCCACAACGAGCCCTCCTTCAAACGATAAGATAGCCACAATCTTCTTTGCCTCCATAAGTTTCCTTCTGTTTTTCCTTGTTCTTTATAAAACTGGTTTAAGTTTTATTTAGGTATTTAAAATTATTTAAGTATAAGAAATAAAATAGAGAAACCATAATTTAGCTCGCAAGCGTAAGTCAAATCTTGAAATAATTAGTTCAGGTCAAAAATATCGGTATCTTAATGATTTAAGATTGTATTTTTTGACTAAAATTTTATTTTTAAATGTCTTTTGGGTTGCCGTGCTAATAAATTTGATGAAGTTCATCTTGTGTAGAACATTTTAGCTGAGTTTGACATGGTCCTTTTATTTAAAATCTTAAATCAATTTGAAGTTCTGTATTACTCAGCTTCGTGATATGTAACTTTATTTATTAAGGAATAAATATGGTCTTCTTATTTAGAAGTTGATGGACAAAAAGAAAGAATGAAATAAGTTTTTTTACTATGGTTCCATGGAGATGGAAGTTGGTATGAGAAGCACACAAAATATCAACGAAAACTCACCAGTGATGGATCTAACAAGATTCACTGTGCGTATTCTTGGATAGTATGAGTTAGAGAACAGTAGTTAATAAACATTGCAGCCTGAACAGATGTGTCCTGAATGGCCAGAACTGATAAGATCCAATATGACCTGAAACACCACCAGCTTCTGCAACAGCTCTTTATTGGTCGGCCTGTACATAACAAGGTTCTGCAAGGCACAGATGGCCACCACTTTCATTTCTCCGGTTGGCTGCTCTTCAAGAAGATTTACTAGTGCTCGACAGGCGAAACAGCATCTGTTGTCCGTGCCAAGCCCCTCATTCTGTGAAAAGATCACCAAGAGCTATGAAGAATGAGCTGCAAGCAACCTTCCTGCCCTGGGGATTGGGTTTGAAGGAGATCTAGCATACATGGATATGGAGAGATGGAAGAAATTCGCAGCTTCGTTTCTCTTATCTTTGTATTATTTAGCAAAATGTCTCCAACAAATCTTGCAGCCGTTTTCCTCACACTGATGATTTTTTAGAATCCAAAAGGGCCTTTCAACAGCACCGCTTTCAACCATAGCTTCTGCACTGGTTGAATCATCACTTTCCAGAACAAGCAGGCGTTTAATGGCACCATAAACTGTGCTTTCAGTTCCAGATCGGAAGCAATTGTACCATACAGCAACAGGAAACTTCCAAGAATATTCTTGAACTATATTGAGAATTGCTGGATAAAACAGAAGCAAGGCAATTCCCACAAAGCATAAGGTAAGGCGGATCAGCCTGCAAATCTTTGGACAACTCGTATACACCACCCTCTTTGGCAATTGTATTAGGCCTAAGTAAGTGAAATATTAACAAGAGCTTTTATGGCTCTCTGTTGTAAAGACATGAACACCTGATCCAAGGAATTTGAATTAGGGTCGCAACTGCTTGCTCTGTGAACTGGATCATTTGCAGTGTTCCTCCAACAGAAGATGAGAACAAAAGTTCCTTGCAGCCAATGGCTCAGGTTTGAGTTGGTGGAATCCAACAAAAGATATCACTGGTTCAAACAGCTTGATGGGGAAGTAAGATATAATCCACTCGACATTGAGGTTGCTCTAAAATGTTTACAAGAACTTGTAACCGCTATGCTTCCATCAAGGAACCAATCTCTGGCCTTACAAACAGTGAGAAAAGGGCAGCCAAAACTTGGCTGCTGAGGGACCCCTTCGCAATGTCAGCATTGGTTA